GAATTTTCAGCATTTTTGCACTGGTTTTTCCTCATCTTTGTGGATTTATCTGCCTTTGATCTTTGAGGCTGATGACCTTTGGATGGGGTTTCTGTATGGGGGTCCTTTATGTTGATGTTGATGTTGTTGCTGTTTGTTAGTTTTTCTTCTAATAGTCAGGCCTCTCTTCTGCAGGTCTGCTGCAGTTTGCTGGAGGTCCACTCCAGACCCCGTTTACCTGGGTATCACCAGTGGAGGCTGCAGAACAGCAAATATTGCTACCTGCTCCTTCCTCTAGAAGCTTCATCCCAGAGGGGCACCGGTCTGATGCCAGCCAGAGCTCTCCTGTATGAAGTGTCTGTCAACCCCTGTTGGGAGGTCTCTCCCAGTCAGGAGGCACGGGGTCAGGGACTCACTCGAGGAGGCAGTCTGTCCCTTAGCAGAACTGGTGTGCTGTGCTGGGAGAATTCCTCTTGTTAGGATCAGCTGCTGTCTTCAGAGCCAGCAGGCAGGAAAGATTAAATCCTCTGAAGCTGTGCCCACAGCTGCCCCTTCCCCCAGGTGCTCTGTCCCAGGGAGATGGGAGTTTTGTCTGCAAGCCCCTGACTGGGGCTGTTACCTTTCTTTCAAAGACGTGCTGTCCAGTGAGGAGGAATCTAGAGAAGCAGTCTGGCCACAGCTGCTTTGCCACATTGTGGTGAGTTCCATCCAGTCCAGACCTCCCTGCCATCTTAGCACTGTCAGGGGAAAACTGCCTAGTAAAGCCTCAGTAATGGTGCACGCCCCTACCCCAACCAAGCTGGATCATCCCAGGTCAACTTCAGGCTGCTGTGCTGGCAGCGAGAATTTCAAGCCAGTGGTTCTTAGCTTGCTGGGCTCTGTGAGAGTGGGACACGTTGAGTGAGACCACTTGGCTCCCTGGCCTCAGCCCCCTTTCCAGGGGAGTGAACAGTTCTGTCTTGCTGGGGTTCCAGGCACCATTGGGATGTGAAAAAGACTCCTACAGCTAGCTAAGTGTCTGCCCAAACAGCCATCCAGTTTTGTGCTTGAAACCCAGGGCCCTGGTGGTGTAGCCCCCTTATCTGCAGATTGTAAAAACTGTGGGGAAAGTAGTAATCTAGCTGGGTAGCACAGTCCCTCATGGCTTCCCTTGGCTGTGGGGAGGGAGGTCCCCTAGCACCTTGCACTTCCCAGGTGAAGCAAAAGCCCCACCCTGCTTCGGTTCACCTTCCATGGGCTGTACCCACTGCCTAACCAGTCCCAATGAGATGAACTGGGTTCCTCAGCTGGAAATGCAGAAATCACCTGCCTTCTGTGTTGGTCTCACTGGGAGCTGCAGACGGGAGCTTTTCTTATTCAACCATCTTGGCCCCTTCTTTGGATTTATTTTTTACAAAATATTTTCAACTGTATTAAGATTACATTTTGTACAACATCTGTGGCCATTTATTTTATTTTTAAACTTTTAATGGTACATAATAGTTGTACACATGTCAGGGATACATGTGATATTTTGATATGTGTATACAATGTGTAGTGACCAAATCAGGGTAAGTGGGATATCTACCACCTCATACATTCATCATTTCTTTGTGTTGGGGACATTCGAATTCCTCTCTTCTAGCTATTTTGAAATACACAATAGATAGTCATTAAACTTGTCACCCTACTATGCCATAGAACATTGGAACTTATTTCTCCTATTTAACTGAAATTTTGTAACCACTAACCAAACTCTGACTGTCTTCCCCTATACCCTTTCTAGCTTCTGTTAAGCATTATTCTATTCTGTACTTCTATGAGATCAACTGTTTTAGTTTCCACATATGAGTGAGAACATGTCGTATTTGTCTTTATGTGCCTGGCTTATTTCACTTAATGTAATGTCCTCCAGTTTCATCCATTTTGCCACAAATGACAAGATTTCATTCCTTTTAATGGATGAATTCAATTCCATTGTATATTTAGACCACATTTTCTGTGTTCATTCATCCATTGATGGATACTCAAGTTGATTCTATATCCATATTTGTTTTTGAGTCGGTTTTGGTCATTTTTATCTTTCAAAAATGTTCCATTGCATCAGGCTTGTTAATTGATTTCCCTTTTAAGGTGTCTTGTTTTTATTCTCTTCAACTTAAAATTAAAATTTTATTTATGCCTTGGCTTATAACAGGTCAGGAAAACAAGACCTCTTCTATTATACAGTCTTAGTAATTGTGTGAATCAATACAAAATGTTTGGAGTGTAAGTTGGTGCCAAGTAATAACTTGTATAAAAAAGAAAAAAGTAATAACTTCAATACATCTGCATTTGACCCAGACATTCCAACTCTAGGGATCTTTTTTTTTTTCAGAAATATAATTGTTTGTATACTTACAAATATCCAAGAATATTTATAGCATCATTTTTTCATAATTAAAAATGGAAACAACAATGAAAATTAATTAATAAAGAGCTATCTAATAAAGAATAGGACATCCACATAATGGAATCCTATGTAAAAAAAAGAGGTAGAGTAATATGTGCTGATATGGAAAGATATATTTTATATGTTGTTAAATGAGAAAGAAAAGGTTGCAAACAGATTTTCACAGCCTCTACAAAAAAGAATATGGAGATACACGTTTGGAAACTTTCTCTAAAATTATATGGCAAGTAGTTGGGCTTGGGCAATTTAAGGAATTGGAAGAAAGATTAATCCCAATTTATACGCTTAGGCACCAATTGAAATTCTCAGATTTAACAGGTGTACTTTAAATACTTAAAATGAAAACCAAAATGCAGACCAATGTTTTATAATTCCTACTTTTTCTGTCTTACTCCAGCGTTAGACAGATTTCCAATTTACATTTTGTCAGTTCCTCCAGGTTGCAAACGTAACTGTGTATATACGCTATCCTTATGCTCTCTCTACTTTACAGTGGTCCAACTGGTAATCAGTGGCATGCCATGGAAAAAAAAAAAAGTCTGGAAGAATCTTGCTGGAATGCATACAGATGCACATATATTCAGAGGAGTGAAAGCCTGAGACAATAGAACAGAATAGAATTCGATTTAGGGGTAGGACCTCTTACAGTATTCTGTAGGATCCACAGGACTAAATGCAGGAGCCTTTATAAAATGAATGAAGGAGTCATCAGGCTTTTTAGAAGATTTTTGGTGAAGTTAAGGCTTTGACTAAGACCAATAAGCAGACTTTTTGGGGATATTGGTGCATGTTTTAGAGGCCAATTGTGGTGTCTCCTATTGGGGGAAGAGGGTTGATTTAGGCTCCGAATAACTAGAGAAACTTGAGAAAAGTCTAAGATAAAGGGCAGAGGGAGTTGACTATTTAGAATCTGAGACGTCTGGAAACCTAGACCTGAGGTTTTGCAGGAAGGCAGCCCCAGTATTAAGAAGTCCCTGATTGGTAAGATTTCAGGTTTTCCAGCCAAACAAAAACTAGCAAACGTTCTAAAACTTAATTGGTCAAAAATGGGAATGACTTAAAGTTTGTTCTGCTCCCACTAGACTTATTTCCTGGGGACTCCCTGAACATGGGCTAATTAAGAAGTGGTAACTCGGTGACTAAGTACCCTTGGGAGGAAAGGAAGTGGAGGGGAGGGGAGAGAGAGAGGACCCTCAACTTTGTACAGCACTTATTTCTGGGCTTTTTTCTAACCTCCTCTGCGAGGACAGTTTCCTTCTTCACCATGAGTGGGGATGGCAGCAACTTGCTCTGGCCCCTGTGCGTGGCCTAGCACTAGCGGGACAGGAAGTAGCATCAGTGGAGCCCTAGAGAACACCAGAAGGGGTGGCCAAGCCCCTCCATAGAGGTGAGAGTCTTTCCAAGGGGTCTCCTCTATGAAGGAGAGGGTAAGAGCAGTTTAGGGTGGGACGTTCTGGGCCTACCAACCTTCTAGAACAAAGTCCCCCAGATCTTGAAGTGTGGGCTAGGGGAGCAGTACGGTGTATAGGCTCATCTCCAGATCTTTTCTGCATAGCAGAGAGCACTTCCGGCCCCTCTCGGACCCAATGCTAGACACAGTCACAGCTCCCTGACAGTCGATGTCCTTCTCGCTCATGTTTCTTTATCTCGTGCTGGTTATGCAGAGGTTGTGGAAAAGCAGAACACTGAGCTTTCCCATGAAATCTGTCCCTGAAGCTTTTTTAACCATTAGTAAAACAGTGATATAGACAAGGAGGGGGTTACCTAAGCAAAGGAAGGGCAGGAGGAAAAATGGTAATGTGAGGCAGGAAGGAAAATCAACCAGAGTAGGATTGAAGGGATGTGGCCCAACCTGCCCTGGCCAGAATAAGTATTATTTAATCATATATTATCCATCCATCCATCCATCCATACCTCATCTAGCAAAATTTGTCAGCACTACTTATTTTACATATATGATATATATATCTTATGTATTTAAATATCTTATAAATAAAATATGTATGTTATGTATATTTATATAAGATATAGTTCATGTATCTTATTTCATATATCTTATATAAATGAGATAAAATAAAAAATATAAGGTGTAGTAGTTAGCTGTGTGAGTGATGAAATCTGACAGACCTAGGTTCAAATCTTGACTCACACAGCTATTAGTTGGGTTACCTTGTGATAAATTAATACATAATTTAATATATAAGATATATCTGTGATATATTTATTTCAGATAATATATATCTCTATATCTATATAAATTTATATCTATATATTATCTATATAAATCTATATCTATAGCTATATCTCTGTTATATAATCTATATATCTATATATAATATTATATATCTATATAATATCTAATATATCTAATATATATCTCTCTATACATATCTCTATATTATATAAAAGATATAGAGATCTTTATATATAAAAGATATAGAGATGCATATAAAAGATATACAGATATATAATATGTATCTCTATCTCTATATAAAAGATATAGAGAGATACATATAATATATAACTATTTAATTTATGTATGTAAATTTTATGTGCCAGCCTCAGAATACAACAGTGAAGATATGTCCTAGCCCTCATGGAGTGTATATTCTAGTGTTGTAGATAAATAATAAATAAACTTGAATTTCCTCTCCCCCTTTCTTGCTTAATTTTTTTCCCTGTGGCATGATAAATAAACTAAACTATTACATATTTTACTTATGTGTCTTGTGTGTGGTCTAGCCCCCACCTCTTCCTTGAATATAAGCTCCACAGGGCATGGAATTTTCTTTGTCCTGTTCATGACTACATTTGTTTATTGTTAAATGAAGGAGTGAATAATTAGACATAATACAAGGTAATAACAACCGTTATGAAAAACGGAAGTCCAAAAATGAGTGTGTCTTTTCTGTTTTTGGCAGAATGATTGGAAAAAGTCTTTGGAAGGAGTGACATTTGAATAATGGGATGAAGCAACAGGCAGAGAGCCAGGCATCCTTAACAGCTGGCGGTCCCAGATCTATTCCTTATCTGTGCCAGGTGCCATCTTTCCTTCCTCCCACAACTTTGGAAGGAAAATGGAATTAGAGAAGAATGGATCTGTTCTGGGAAATTATCCCAAGCTCCAGAGTTCTCATTTAGAGATCTTGCTGCTCTGTAAAATGGAGATTTTAAAATCCAGAACAGCAGAGATGTTGCTCTTACATCCTCTGCCTCCTCTCTACTGGCCCCAAAAGTGGGTCTATGCGTTACCATTACAGATGAGAGCTGGGGTTTAAAGCTCTCATCCTTTGAACATCATACAAAATGCCTTTATGTCGTCTGGCACAATTAACCTAAGAGAAAGTAGGACAACTCCAGGACTGGAGGGACCTGATTGACTCACCTTCAAAACGGGCCTATTTAAAAGGTTTTAGCCTCTGCCCCCTGAGAGAAGGTACATCTTTCCATGGGGAAAAAGGCAAGGAAGGTATTTCACCACCAGTAGAAAAAGATGTCTTCCCCCATTCCAGGGGGCTGGTTATACAGGGAAATGAGAGCCTCACTTGTAGACTTGGGTGACAACATGTACCTCAAGCTACGTATGTGCCGAACACAGTAGCAGGGACGTGTCACCTGATTCTCAGGTTGGAAGTAGTTTCTTATCCTAATCTGTCTTCCTTCTCTCTTGAGAGCAGGACCATGTGGAGCAATGCACCTCTCTTTTAATCTCTGTGCTTCAAAAGAAGCAGAATCAAGGACTAAATGATGGACAGCCACTCTAGTGCCACCGAATTCCACCTTCTAGGCTTCCCTGGGTCCCAAGGACTACACCACATTCTTTTTGCTATATTCTTTTTCTTCTATTTAGTGACATTAATGAGAAACATGGTCATCATCGTGATTATCTGTGTGGAGAAACGTCTGCAGTCCTCCATATATTTCTTCCTCGACCACCTCTCTGCCCTGGAGATCCTGGTCACAACCATAATTGTCCCCATGATGCTTTGGGGATTGCTGCTCCCTGGGATGCAGACAGTATCTTTGTCTGCATGTATTGCTCAACTTTTCCTGTACCTTGCTGTAGGAACCACAGAATTTGCATTACTTGGAGTGATGGTTGTGGACCGTTACGTGGCTGTGTGTAATCTTTTAAGATACAACATCATTATGAACAGCAGTACCTGTATTTGGGTGGTAATAGTGTCATGGGTATTTGGATTTCTTTCTGAAATCTGGCTGGTCTATGCCACATTTCAGTTTACCTTCTGCAAATCAAATTCGTTAGACCATTTTTAGTGTGACCGAGGGCAATTACTCAAACTGTCCTGTGACAACACTCTTTTCACAGAGTTTATCCTTTACTTAATGGCTATTTTTATTCTCATTGGTTCTTTGATCCCTACAATTGTCTCCTATACCTACATCATCCCCACCATCCTCAAGATCCCGTCAGCCTCTGGCTGGAGGAAAGCCTTCTCCACTTGTGCCTCCCTCTTCACCTGTGTTATAATCGGCTACGGCAGCTGCTTGTTTCTCTATGTGAAACCCAAGCAAACACAGGGAGTCGAGTACAATAAGATATTTCCCCTGTTGGTTTCTGTGTTAACCCCCTTCCTGAACCCTTTCCTCTTTACTCTTTGGAATGACAAAGTCAAAGAGGCCCTCCGAGATGGAGTGAAATGCTGCGGTTAACTCCTCAAAGATTAGCTGTTCTCTAAGTCAGTTTTAGGTGGTACAAGCCTCACGGTTAATTATTAAGTCACCTAGAAAATTCTAACTCCTCTTTTCTCTTATCATCATTACAAAAGTCAGAGTGTGTACAATTTGCCATCACACCATGGAAGTAGATTAGGCTGGTAATAATGAAATCCATTGTCTGCCCGGGAGAATCTTAGCTTTAGTTCCTACCTGTTTCCGCTGTTGAACATATTCTTGTGATTTGGGAGGGACTAGAGAAAGGAAATGCAGACATTTTTGTAAGAGTTCTATTAGCCCAATTCATTTCCTTATAGTCCATCTCTGAAAATGTATTTTCTGGGGAAGGGAGAAAGTGTGGAGGGAGGTGGACTGAGAGAGGTGTCCTAATCAGAGTACAAAGGTATAGATGCTCACTTTGGTTCTTCATCAACTGTTGCTGAGTCCTTCCCTATATTTTTGTGCAATTTTTTGACAAAATGGCTACATGCATTTTAGGTATCCTAAGGCTCTTTCTATCTGCCCCATTGATACTGGAAAGGAAGTGTAATGCTGTTTATGTTTTGTCACAGAACCAGTCTAGAGTGGTGATATGAAGATTGGAATGCTTCTCATTCAGCAGATATTTGTGGTGTAAAGGAGATAAAAATATTTGAGGATAAAAATGGGGGAAAAGTTATTTTTGCTAAGCTTCAGCATATTCCTTTCACTGCCCTTCTTTGTGGTGAGTATAGGGACAGGGGCAAATAAGAACTAAATGACTAATTCTAGAGAGCATCCTGTATCTTATGGCTGTTTAAAACAACTATGTCTATTCAGACTGTATCCAGATCTAGTCTTCAAACTTTATAATGTCTTTTGATTCTCCATCTCTCAAATCCAACCGTCTCAGCACCATCATGTATATCTTCTCTGTGGGCAGAATTTTTTAAAAATGAGAGGCTACTCTTTTGACTCCCAGCTAGCTTTCTAGCAATTCCAGAGATTGGCTGTTTGGTAATATAACTGTTGGAATTTCACATAATATTGGAAGAAGTCCTTAAAGGGAAGAAGTTCACCTAAACAACAACAATCAGCAGATTCTACCAGCCCTAAAGTAAGTGAGAAAATTGAGCTGTTCAGCAGTGGGATGATGAGGCTACTGAGAATTTTAGAGAAATGTGTGAGGATGCCATGTTGTCTTGTCCTGTGAGGAGTGAAAACCATCATGTATGTTTGGGTAGTTTGCATTGCATTAAAGTACCAGACAAGGTGGGGAATGAGCTTTAAATTCAGCCAACCCATGCTCTGCAAGCCAACCAATGGGCTCTGGTGGGACGGCATTGGCTGGAGAAAGGGGAGACTTTTGCTTAAACAAAGGTGCCCATGGTTTCTAAGCCCAGTAAATGAGGATCTGTTCTGGACCAGAAAGAATACCTTTTTTCTAATGCATTAATCCAGAGAAGTATCCTTTAAGGGATGAGACAATAGGAGCTCAGAGAATTTAAATAACTTGCCAAAGTTTACTTAGCCATCCATCAGACTGGAAAAACATAAAACTCTGAGAATACTAAGTGTTGATCTGAATGCTGGCAAATAGGGTTTTTAAAAAATCAACTTCTGGTAGAAATATAAGCTATAAGATCCAAATAATTAGATAGTAGATGTCTATAATTAAGTTATAGTACAGTCATAATTAGATAGTGGTAGTCCATTTTGCATTGCTATAACAGAATATAAATGATACCAGCCTGGATTACTTACAAAGAAAATAAACGTATTTGGCTTATGATTCTGGACACTGAGAATTTGTTTGGCTTATGATTCAAGAGCATAACACTGGCATCTGGCAAGGGCCTTTGTGCTGTGTCATCCTATGCCAGAGGTGGAAGGGCAAGAGAGGGCCAGAGTGAGAGAGCAAGAGAGGGCCAAACCCACTTTCATAACAAATCCACTCTCAGAATAACAAACTCACTCCTGTGAAAACAGCACTAATTCATTCATGAGGGGATATCTCTCATGACTTAATCACCTCTTAAAGGTCTTACCTCTCAACAATGTCACAATGGTAATTAAATATCAACATGAGTTTTGGAGGGGACATTCATATCATAGCACTTCACCCCTCGTTCCCCAAAAGTAGCATCCTTCTCACATACAAAATACATTTGTCCCTTCCCCATAGCTGCTAAATATCTTAACTGATTCCAGCATCAACTCAAAAGTCCAAAGTCAAGTATCTCATCTAAGTCAGATACGGGCGAGACTCAAGGCACAATTTATCCCAAGGAAAATTTCTCTTCATCTGTGAGCTTGTGAATTAATGTTACGTCTTTCCAAAATATGATGTTAGGCATAGAATAGACATTTCCATTCCAAAAGAAAGAAATAGGCAAGAAAAAAGAGATGACTGGTCCCAAGTAAGTCTAAAACCCAGTAGGAAAAACAACATTAAGTCTTTAAGCTGGAAAATAATCTCCTTTGACTGCATGTCCCACATCCTGGGCATGCTGGGGTTGGGGTTGAGCCCTCAAGCCTTTGCTGTGGTCAGTCTTCTCAGCAGCTCTCACAGGTTAGAGTCTAGGGCCTGCAGTTCTCCCAAGCTGGCACTGCACACTAGTAGCTCTGCAGTTCTTGAGTGTCAGGCAGTTCTGCTTCCACGGCTTCGCTAGGCATCCCCTGGTGAAGACTTTCTGTGGTGACTTTGCTCCTGCAGCAGGTTTCTGCCTGAGCCCACAGACTTCATGTAGCATCCTTTGAAATCTAGGTGGAGGAAGTCATGCCTCCATAGCTCTTGCATTGTGCATGCCTGTAGAAATAACACCAAATGGATGCCACCAAAGTCTACCATTTTTACCTGCCTTCCAGAGTGGTAGGTCAAGCCACACCTGGGGTTACTTGAACCACACCAGGAGCAGCCAAAGGACACTGTCCTGGAATGCAAGGAGCAGCAACTCCAGGTGGCCTGTGAAGCGTACCCTGTGCCTATTCCCCAAAGCCATTCTGCCCTCCTAGATCTCTAGGCCTGTAATGGGATGAACAGCCTCAAAGATCTCTGAAATGCCCATTGTCTTGGTGAGCCCTTTTATTTATACTAATCTCATTAGCAAATGGTCACTTGATCACACCCTTGGTCTGTTCTTTTAAACACATTTTTTCGTTCTTTATGTGGGCAGGCTGAAAATTTTCAGAATCTTTTCATTCTGCTTTTATTTTTTAAGTTATAGATTTCATCTTTAAGTTATTTCTTTTCTCTTACATTTTACTGTATATGGTTAAAAGTAGCCATGCAGATCCTTCAATATTTTGCTTAGAAATTTCTTCCACCAGATAGTCTCATTAATCACTCTTAAATTCTGCCTTCCATAAAACCCATGGGCATGGACACTGATATAATTTTAATCTGTGTCCCTGCCCAAACCTTATGTCGAACTGTAATCCCCAATGTTGGAGGTGGGACCTGGTGGGAAGTGATTGAATCATGGGGCAAATTTCTCATGAATAGTTTAGCACCATTCCCCTTGGCACTGTCCTTGTGATAGATGGTGAGTGAGTTCTCGTGACACCTGGCCATTTAAAAGTGTGTAGCACCTCCCTTCTCTCTCTTGCTCTTGCCCCTGCCATGTAAGATGCCTGCTTCTCCTTTGCCTTCAGCCATGATTAGAAGCTTCTAGAGACCTTCTGAAAAGCAGAAGCCACTGTGCTTCTTGTACAGCCTATAGAATCATGAGCCAATTAAAACTCTTTTTTTTGATACATGTCTCAGGTATTTCTTTATAGCAATGTGAGAACAGACTAACACAGGCACAATTCAGTTAAGTTCCTTGCCACCTCATAAAAAGAATGGCCTTTACTTTAAAAAAGAAAAAAAAAAAAAAAAGATGGACATTCCTCTTTTCTGACTCAGCTTTCATCAAAATGACCATTACTTTTCATATTTCTACCAATATTCTGATCATGACCACGTAAGTAATCTTGTAAAAGTTTCAGATTTTTCTACGTTTCTTCTTTCCTTCTGAGTTCTTACCAGAATTTCCCTTAACGTTCAATTTACGGTAGTCTAGGATTTTTCTAGCCTGCCCTTCCAAATTCTTCCAACCTCTGCTCATTACCCAGCTAAAAGCCACTTCCACATTTTCAAGTATTTGTTATAGCAAAAGCCCCACTCTTGGTGCACATTTTCTATCTTAGTCTATTTTTTGTTTTTAGAATAGCACAGGCTAAGTAATTTATAAAGAAAAAAAGTTTATTTGGCTCATGATTTTGGAGGCTGAGAAGTTCAAAGGCATGGTGCTGGCATTGCCAAGGGCCTTCATGCTGTGTCATTCCATGGTGGAAGGCAGAAATGCAAGAGGGAGAGAGAACAAGAGAGGCTGAACTCTCTTGCCCTCTCATGAATTTATTCATGCTCATGAAAATGAATCCACTCCCCCAATAATGACATTAATTTATCCCTGAGAGCATAACCCTCATAACCTAATCACCTCTTAAAAGTTCCACCTCTCAACACTATTACAATGGCAATCAAAGTTCAACATGAGTTTTGAAAGGGACATTCAAACCACAGCAGTAGGAAACCTAGGAAACATGTACTATGCATACGCTATGGCCTATTTTTAAGTTTGTTAATTCTTTCTTCAGCCATGTTAAGTCTACCAATGAACCTATGAAAATAATTCCTCATCTCCCATATCGCGGTTTTATTTATAACATCTACATTCTATTCTTTCTTGTAGTTTTAAACTGTCTATCAGAAACCCTTTCTTGTTTATGCATGTTGTCCACCTTTTCAACATCATTTAACATTTTCATTACACATATTATGTTTGCACTAAGTGAATATTTTCTATGACAATCAACCCTTCATATCCGTGGATTCTTTATCTTGGATTCCACCAACTGCAGATAAAAAATATTTGGGAAAAAAAGATTGGTTGTCTATGTACTAAACATGTACATGCTTTTTAAAATCATGATTTCCTAAACAATATAGAATAACAACTATTTACCTTGTATTAGGTATTATAAGTAATTTAAAATGATTTAATGTATACAGGATGATGTATGTAGGTTATATGCAAATAGTATACAATTTTATATAAAGAACTTGAGCATCTGTGAATTTTTGTATCTGTGGGGTTCCTCTTTTGGAACCTTGGCTTGAAACCAAGCCCCTACAGATACTGAGGGATCACTGCATGACATTTTAAATCCTTTGTTGATTTTTAAATTATATTGTAAATGAATGCTCTAGAGCTTAACATATATATCTTATCAGATTGACTTCAGATTTATACTAACAATGCCAGTGAGATATAGGAGCATTACTTCTGTATAGCTCTATTCTCTTTTTCCTCCTTTTGTTCTATTATTATTGTAATACATAGTTCACCTATTTAGTTACAAACTTAACAATATATTGTTATAATTATTACTTACAATTTTAAAGAAGATGGGAGAAGAAAGGAGAACATTTGTGTATTTCTAGCATTTGTAATGTTAACTTTATTTATTTTTTCTGGTTATCTTCATTTGTTTCTCAGATTCGAATTTACATCTGATATCATTTCATTACTCCAAAACCGTTCTGCTCCTAGCTAACTCTTTTGTGCTATTTTTGGTAAACATATTACATTTCTTTATGTTTTCCATTCACAAATACAGTATATACTTATTGTTTTATATAACTTTTTTTAACAGTTAAAAAAAGAAGAGAGAATAAACATGCATTTAGACTTTCTTTTATAATTACTTACTATATATTCTTTATAATTATTTACCATAAAAAAACTTACTTTTATCAATACTTTTCATTTTATGTGGATTATAACCACTGTCTGGTGTCACTTGCTTTCAGTCTGCAGAACTTCCTTTAGTATTTCTTGTAAGTTTGGTTTGCTAGCAACAAATTCTCTCATTTAGTTTATCTCAGAATTTCTTTCTTCTGCCTTAATTTTTGAAAGATAATTTTGCCAGCTATAGGATTTGTGGTTGACCTTGTTTTTCCCTTTCACCACTTGGAATATGTCATCCTGTTCCCTTCTGGTCTTAACTGTTTCTGATGAGAAGTCAGCTGTTAATCTTATTGATTCTATTAGACGTGAGATGTTCCATTAGATGTGAGAAGTCACTTTTCTATTGTTGTTTTGAAGATTTTTTTCCTTGTTTCTCAGTGATTTTACTGTTATGTGTCTATTGTAGATCTCTTTGTGTTTATTCTACTAGAAGTTTATTGACCTTTGTGGGTGAATAGATTAATATTTTTCATCAAATTTGAGAAGTTTTCAACCATGATTTCTTCAAATATCTTTTATGTTCTTCTGTATCTCTCCTATTCTTCTGGTACTTCCATTATATGTATATTGGTACACTTAGTGGTATCCCATATTTCTCTGACACTTTTTCATTTTTCTTATTTCTTTTTTGTCTCTGATCTTTGGATTGCATAATTTTTATTGACCCATCTTGAAGTTTACTAATTATTTCTTCCATCAGTTACAAAATACAGTTGTGCTCCTCTGGTAAATTTTTCACTTTACTTATTGTACTTTTAGACTCTAGAATTTCCATTTGGCCATTTTTATAATTTTGATACTTTTGTTGATATTCTCTACCCAGAGAAACATTGTCATCATACTTTACTTTTTAAATACAATCGTTTCCTTTAATTCTCTGAACATATTTATAATGTCTACTTTGAATTTAAATGTTAAATATGCCATCTGGTCCCTCTCACATACAGTTTCTATTGTTGGCTTTTCCTCCTGTGTATGAGTCACACTTTCCTGTTTCTTTGCATATCTTGTAATTTTTTGTTGAAAACTACACATTTTAGATATTATATTATATCACTATGGATACTGTTATCTCACTTCCAGGGGATTATTATTGTAATTTGATTGTCAATTTGTTTATAGTCATGCACCACATAACAATACATCAGTCAATCATGGACTGAATATAAGATGGTGGTTCAATAAGATTACAATGGAGCTGAACAACTCCTATCACCTAATGACATTGTAGCTGTTGTAACATCATAGCACATCACATTTCTCATGTGTTTGTGGTGATGCTGGTATAAACAAACAAACATACCATGCTGTGGTTGTATAAAAGTATAGTACATAGAATTAGAAGTATAGCACAGTACATAATACTTGTCAATAATAATAATTTTACTAATTCATGTATTTACTATACTATGCTTTTTATCATTATTTTAGAGTGTACTCATTCTACTTACAAAAAAGGTGTTAACTGTAAAACAGACCCAGACAGATCCTTCAAGAGATTATGCCAGAAGAAGGCATTGTTATCGTAGGAAATGACATCTCTATGCTTTTTATTGCCACTGAATACTTTCCACTGGGACAAAAAGTGGAGGTAGAAGACAGTGACACTGATGATCTTGACCATTTGTAGGCCTAGGCTAATGTGTGTGTTAGTGTCTTAGTTTTCTTTTTTAAGCTTAAAAAGTAAAAAATAAACTGAGAATAGGAAACAGCTTATAAAATAAGGATCTAAAGAAAGAAAATATTTTTGTACAGCTGTAAAATGTGCTTGTGTTTTAAGCTAAGTGCTATTATAAAAGAGTCCAAGGGTTAAAAAAAAGAGTTTACAGAGTAAAAAAGTTACAATATGCTAAGGTTTATTTATCATTTCAGAAAGAAAATGTAGTGTTGTTTAAGTGTACAGTGTTTATGAAGTCTACAGTAGGCAGTGTACAGCAATGCCCTAGGTCAACACATTTACCTGTCATTTCCCACTGACTCACCCAGAACAAATTCTAGTCCTGCCTGCTCTGTTTATGGTAAGTGTACATTTTTTATCTTTTATACTGCATTTTCACCATACATTTTCCATGTTGAGATCCAGAAATGCTTGCCACGGTCACAATGGACTATTCAGTATAGTAATATGCTGTACAGGTTTGTAGCCTAAGAGTACTAGGCTATACCATCTAGGTTTGTTGAAGTACACCTTATGATTTTCATACAATCACAAAGTCACTAAACAATGCATTTCTCAAAATGAATTCCCACCATTAAGTGATGCATGACTATTTCCCTGGCTGTGTGTACTCTATAGTGTTGCTCTCAGAGGATGCACTCTTAG